AAAATTCCCCTCACATTCTTGGACTGTGTTCTGACAAGCTATATTTGAAAAGCAATTGTGTGTCTGCTGAAATGTATATTAAAAAATCCCTCAATTATATTGTATCACCCTAAAAATTCTAAATGTAAAAAACAACAAAATATAGGATTAAAAAAAACACAGAAAATAATGTTTGAGTTTGAAAATATTCTTAGAATGAAAAAAAAAAGGCCACCTTAAGACCGCTGACAGTTTAAGAAGAGTACAGTCCTTGGTAAATGGACTACATCCCAGTGGAAGTCCACACATCTAAGAATATTGGGCAACACAAACTGGACCTGATGGGTTAAAAAAAGAAACTAAAAAGAGGATAGCAAAGTTGGATGGAGAGAGTATGGGGTGGGGTAGGGGTGGAATCAGAGGAGTTGGAAGAGAGTGGAGTATGATCAAAACACACTGCATGAAATTTTCAAACAACTTAAAAGAACTGCCCACACTGAGGTTAAGAAGACAAATAAAACCAAGGACTTTATGGCTTTCCTCATAAAAATGTTGAAAAACTTATCTCATCAAAATTTAACATAATTTTCACTTACTAGAAGAAATAAATTAAACCAACAACGTCAAATATGGGCAAGGGTAAGAAGCAAGTAGGTGATCACAGTCTCCTGATAAGAACAAAAAATAAGATGACAACTTTGGGAAAAGGTCTGAAAGTTCCTTACAAAGCTAACTTCATACCTATCCTATGATGTAGCCATTCTACCCTGTAGATATATGCATGCAAAAGAAAGAATATTAAACCATATAAATATTACTCAAAATAATTAAAAACCAGAAAAATGTTTTATGTTCAAAATGGGTGAACCTCTGTGTGTTAATGGGTTATAAATAAAAATGTTGCTTACATAAAAAAAAACCCCACAACATAAAACTATATATACAAGCTGGGTAGTGGTAGCACATGGCTTTAATCCCAGCACTCAGGAGGCAGAGGTAGGGGGATTTCTGAGTTTAACGCCAGCCTGGTCTACAGCTACACAGAGAAACCCTGTCTTGAAAAAAAAAAAAAAGAAAAAAAAGGAAAAAAAGAAAAGGTGTCTAAGGAGATGTCCTCAGCTTGTTCCTTGAGCAGCTGAGGAGAGGGCGCCTGAACTGGCCCCATCCTATAGCCACACTGATGAATATCTTGCATATCACCAGAACCTTCATCTGGCGATGGATGAGATAGAGACAGAGACCCACACTGGAGCAATGGACTGAGCTCCCAAGGTCCAAATGAGGAGCGGAAGAAGAGAGAACATGAGCAAGGAAGTCAGGACCACCAGGGGTGAACCCACCCACTGAGACAGTGGGGCTGATCTAATGGGAGCTCACCAAAGCCAGCTGGACTGGGACTGATGGAGCATGTGATCAAAGCAGACTCTCTGAATGTGGCTGACAAGAAGGGCTGATGAGAAGCCAAGGACAATGGCACTGGGTTTTGATCCTACTGAATGTACTGGCTTTGTGGGAGCCTAGCCAGTTTGGATGTTCACCTTCCTAGACCAGGATGGAGGGAGGAGGACTTTGGACTTTCCACAGGGCAGGGAACCCTGACTGCTCTTTGGTCTGGAGAGGGAGGGGGGGGAAATGGGGGGGGGAATGAGAGGGAAATGGGAGGTGAAAATTTGTCATAATAATATATATATATATATATATATATACAAAAAGAAAAAAACAAAAGAAAAAACGTACACACATGAGGGGGGTGGAGGAATGGCACCAACAAAACAAGCTGAAGAAACCAGACAAAAAGAAAAATATATTTATTTATATAATTATAAATATTTATAATGTATATAAGAAATAACATATATATGTTGTTTCTACTATATGAAGTTGTAAGGAAAACTGAAGTCAGGAATCAGTTCGTGAAGATTAATAAATACATCAATATTGGTTTCTGTATTATTGAACTAGTCATCTTGTCATGCACCTAAGAGAATGAAATCTTAGGAAAGTATTTAACAAGTACAAGAGAGCCTCAACTCTCATCACTACATACAGAGACATTTCAAATTACACACATGCACACATCCAAGTGCTTTCAATAAAATAAAGGGTCTGGCTATGGAATGAAGGTTGAAGGGGGTGGTGTTTCTCAGTGTACATAGCTTAGTTGGGCTGCCAAATGTTCCCTTCTTTGACATCTGGGAGAATGGAGCTTCTTCATCAAAAGAGAACAAGCTTATCCCACTACATTCCAATCCCTTAATTCCTCTTTACTTAGGTGTTCTTGCTTAACATCATCTAGGATAATACTAAGTGATGATGAAGATGATTATTTGACTGACAGAATGAACCCTCGGTTTTTTGATTCATTCAAACAAATATCTGGTTTCTTAAAAAACTTGACAAATAAGAAGAAAGGATTTACATTATTAATTAAAGAGATTTATCATAGCTTCAATTCTGAGATTAAGTTTCTTAATTAAGACCTTTCTATGTGCAGAGTCAGTGGTTGTGTGGGGAGCTGGCCAGGTTTTATTTAGGCCATTTCTCAGTGAAGGTTGAACTTAACATTTCAGTAGACTGTTTTGTCAGTAAGCCCTTGGGTTCTGGGGTGTAGCACATGATGGTATGTTTAACTTCTTACATAAGTACTATGTAACCAACTTGGGCACTCATGATTGTGTAGGATGCACTTCACCCACTGACTCATTTCCTCAGCTCAAACTGAGATTTTTCTGAATGAGCAATGAAGATATTTTATATTGATATTTTTCCTTCTTATTTCTCTGTATAGGTGCTTTGCCTGTATGTCTGTGCACCATGTGTGTGAAGTGCCTGAGGAGGTCATACAAAGACACTGCATACCCTAGAACTGAAGTTACAGATTATGAATCACCATGTGAGTGCTGGGAATCGAACCTGTACCATCTGGAAGAGCAGGCCAGTGTTCTCACCTGATTAATCTCTTCATCCCCTGATTTTTTTAAAACATAATAATTCCAAAAAAAGATAAGACAGATCTTTTGCTGCACATAAATGTCATTTTAAGTGCTGAATAATTCCTAGTATCTTTATTGTCAGATATAAGAAAATATAGCAATTAGAGGAAAATTATGTATTAATCTGAACTTCAAATCTTAAGGTTATTCTAATGCAATAGTAAATAAACATATAAAACATCAAGAATAAATTAGCGACTGATATTTACCTCTATATGCATGAAAATCAGCATTAAAAACTGGTATTAGTGGTTGTTCCCTGGGGAAAATGGTCTTTTAACACACAGAGATTAGTCTAGGAATATTTTATATTTTTATAGGTCTAAGATGTTTTAACATTCTGGAAAAAAGGGACAATTTGCTACTTCAAAAATGTATTCAGTTAGTTCAAAGTAGTCAAAACTTGTGACTATTATTTTAGTGCATTTCCTTGCCTTTGTATTGGGAACTGAACTCAGGGACTTGTGTTTGCTGGGTAAACTAGCAAACACTATCACTGAGCTCAGCTACATGCCTGCTATTTTAAAACATGTCAGATGAATATAATCATAAACTCTTTGAGAAGGAAAAGAAAGATCCATCCCAACCATGAACCTACCTTCACTGGAATCAACAGATTCTCTTTCCTTTCCTTCCTGTTCTCCATTTAACCATGTTAATATTTAACCTTTAGATTTGTGTCCTCAAAGTCCTTAGGTTCACTAATAAGTAGTCCTCAGTGGTAAACAGCAAAAAATTTAAAAGCCACAGTCTCAACCTAACATTAAAAAACTAAATATTACACATGTGATTAGCTCCAGGTTTGGTATGTGATTATTCCTAGGCCACAAAAATAGTTACATTCAACCTTGGAGCATAACAATATAGACAGGTTCTGTAATTAATGATATTGAACAATGTACAGAATTATTATTAATATGGACATCAAGTGGCTCATAATTATCCACCTGGTTAGATAGATTATATCGAATAGCTTTTAAAGAAGTTTGTGGATGAGAAAAATCAAGAAAGGCATAATCATGTCAAAAAGGGTAAAAATATACACATATATCTACACACAGCAGATATAAATAAACTGATAGCAAAAAACAAGGAGACATCTCCAAAAGGGTACCCTAAATGATTTAAATAATAAAGGAAAAATACATTTCTTGGCCTTGGATTTTTTCTTTCAATTTCACCTATATAATATTTATGCCACTTATTAGTCAGGTCACTATAGAAAGGAATCTTAGATCTACATTAGAATTTATTATGCTAAAAAATAAGGAAAATAAATATAATGATTAGAAAATTTTAAAATTGTTTATTGAAATGAAGAGCTAGACCATGGATTTCTAATGAGCCAGGAAAATTCAACAAACTGCTTCAATATCTGCCTCAAGCAAAATTTACTCAAAGAAAGAAATACAGAAAGTTTAGAACCACAAACATGGTATTTCCATAATTAATTACAAATAAGACCAGTTGTAGTTGCTCACAGCTCACCCTAGTACTGTGGGCCACTCAATTTCTGCTCAGCTCCTTTCCTCCTGCCCTTCTCCCCAAAACTTAGACTCAACCATAACTTCAAACTTAATACTAAGAAACAAGAACTTTTAATAAAAAGTACTTCATGAAAGCTACTTTCAATAACTGATAACTTTAGATTAATTAGTCTAACCCATTCCCTAGAAAAATAGCAATTCTACATACATTGTACATTCTGGTTGTAGGTTCTTCAAACAAACAAGCCAACAGAAACAGTAACCTATTTTCACAAACCATCAACTAACCTGTAACCCCTGTACTTCAATAGCAAAGGAAGTAGTTCAAGGCTAACTTGAGTGACAAGGGACCTTGTTTCAAAAAGCATTAAAAAGAAAAGGGCCAAAACACAGACAACGCAATCATAAAATACTTCCAAATGGCTGAACTAACTTTACTTGGTTTTCTTTTTTGTTTGCTTCTACAATCTAATACACTCAGCCAGCAGAGATACTGAACAAAATAATAAGGAAAACAGTATTTAGAGTGGTAGTTCAAAAAGTTGTATGGAGGGGAACGATCAGACTTAGCCCGCTGTCCTAAGTCAGACAGAGACCTCCATGTTTATGTAGGATTGCTGCCTTTTGCAGACAAAAGATATTTTCTCATTTGTCTACATGGTTGACTCCGCAGCTTCCACTTTTAGTGCATTTTATTATTAATACATTTGTTATACAGTCTTTATATTTCAATATTTTCATGTACTTCTTTATAATTCTAATTTCTAACTGCTTTCTCATCTAGATATACCTTAATACATTAAAAACAACTTAAATGATAACAAAAAACAGCATCCAGGTAACAGAAAAGAACCATCATAAAGGCATATTTAACAAACAAAGGCAAAGTGATTCCTAGTCAGAAAGAAAAACTCTAAAAGTATGTACATAAAAGAAGGATGGAGATACACAGACACATTTACTCACCACACCTCAGTCACTCCAATGTCAAGTGGCCCACATCACATATTATCTTTGCTATTCAAGACATACAGATGCCTTCAAGTTCCATCGCATGCCAAGATCTCATACTTGATAATACCTTGCATACGCGTGAGAACACTATTCACAAAGATATCTATAACAAGGGAAACGATTCTGTACTAGTGATGAATATTAAAAACTTCTAAAAGAAAAACTGTACTTTCTGTCTTTAAAAAGTGATTTATTTTGGCTGAAAGACACTTAAGGAAATGCTCAACATTCTCAGCCATCAGAGAAATGTAAATCAAAATAACTCTGAGATTCAGAATGTCCAAGATCAAAAACACTGATGACAGCTTGTGCTGGAGAGTATGTGGGATAAGGGGAACTTTCCTCCATTATTGGTTGGAGTGCAAACTTGTACAGCTGCTTTGGAAATCAGTATGGCAATTTCTCAGAAAATTAGGAAACCATCTACTTGAAGACCCAGCAATACCACTGTTGGATATATATCCAAAGGATGCTCAATCATATCACAAGGACATGTGCTCAACTATGTTCACAGTAGCATTATCTGTCACAGCCAGAACCTGAAAACAACCTAAATGCCCCTCGATTGAAAAACAGAATAAAAAAATGTGGTATATTTACACGATGGAATACTACTCAGTGGTAAAAAACAAGGCCATTTTGAAATTTGCAGACAAATGGATGGATGGATCTAGAAAACACCATATTGAACAAAGTAATCCAGACCCAGAAAGACAAATGTAATATGTACTCACAAATAAGTGGCTTTTAGACAAAGCAAAGAAAAACCATTCTACAGTTCACAACCCCAGAGAACCTAGACAACAAAGAGGACCCTAAGAGAGACATACATGGAGTTACATAGCACGCCTTTAATCCCAGCACTTGGGAGGCAGAGGCAGGCGGATCTCTGTGAGTTCGAGACCAGCCTGGTCTACAAGAGCTAGTTCCAGGACAAGCTCCAAAACCACAGAGAAACCCTGTCTCGAAAAACCAAAAAAAAAAAAAAAAAAAGAAAGAAGAAAAAGACACAATCTCCTGAGTAAATTGGGATCATTGGGATCACAGGAGACGGGAGCAAAGATGTATAGCTCAATAAAAACAGTAAAAAATAAATAAAAATGATTTATTTATTTATGTGTATTATGTGCACCACGTGCCTGTAGAGGCTAGAAGAACATGTTGGTTCCCCTGGAACAGGAGGTACAGGCAGTTGTAAGCTGCTATGTGAATGTTGGAAAGTGACCCTGGTCCTCTGCAAGTGCGGTGATTTTAATTGCTGAGCCATTTCTCCAGCACCAGAAATTTGCACTTCTAAAATTGCGACTGCAAATTTCCCCTGGTCATATACGTAAAGCTACTCCTAGAGTTCTGTGCTATTTTTAGAGATACTCTGAAACACTATGGGGGAAAATACACATGCACTCAAGCAGTATGTATGAAATGAAGGGTAGGATACAAATAGCGAATTTAGGAAGTGGCACCAGGAAACAGGGTTAAAGACCTAGAGGCATATGAATGGGCAGAAACCTCTAAGGAACATCTTCAGTTTTTGTATTTTAGCAAAAATAATACAAAAAGTGACCTAAAATTCTTAATGGTCAATTTGTATAAAAATGAATGTTAAAAATCAGAAGGCTGTGCAAAGAGAGGTGTATAGCTAGAAAGGTGTATTTTATAGCAAAAAACCAAAACCACCACCAACAAAACCCAAAACCCAAAGCAAACCAAACCAAACCAAACCAAAACAAACAAACAACAACCAAAAAAACCCAACCAGCTAGCTACAGATAACTGCAAATTCTCTTCATCCCCTCCCTGCCTCCCCCTACACTCCCCTTTAATAAAACTTTGCATTCAGTCTCTGTCAGCATGATATACTCTGTTTTCTATCCACCTGGTCCCCCACCCGCAGGGACCTGCTAGATTTCCCTGACAAAATCTTTCATTGGTGTCTTGAACTCGGGCAGGCTCCCCCTTTCAGCTGAGGGCTCCCGGGGATTCTCTAATGTTTAACCCTTTCATGAGGTCACTTTTCCAACTCAAAATCATTCTACACCCAACATTGACACTAACCACTTCTGACCATGCCTCCATGATTTGTCTTGGAGGTGGTTCCCCCACATGAAAAGACCCAGTACTGGTCAATGACTTGTCTATCAGACTTACAGCCCCTTACTAGCCCCCAACTCCATGTGACAATGCAGGGGTTTGGTTTGTGTCCACCCATTCTCATGGCCCAGGACCTTGTAAGTGATGACTCAAGGCCAGGTCTGAGCCATGGTCCATACTGAACTTTTGGGATACAGGAGTTCAGTTTCTTGGACTTTCTTCTTTCCTTACTCATGGAAACTGCACCTCCCCCCTCACATATCAAGCTACATAGCTGCCCATCGTCAGCTTACATTCTGCCAATGATTGGTAGTTGGAAGTTTTATAAGAAAAAGAAAGATGGTAATGTTATAATTTTGCAGGCCTTCCCTGTCAGTACCCTGTCCCTTTAAGAGACAAGTTCCACCCACACCCAATCTCCCCCTTCCTGTTGAGGCCAGCTGGCTCTCTTCCTCCCTTCCTCCTCCCAGCTCTTCTTCTAAAGAGGCAGCTCTTTGATTCCCTCTTCCCCTCCTCTCCCTCCTTCTCTCTCTCTCTCTCTCTCTCTCTCTCTCTCTCTCTCTCCTTCCCTTCCTCCCTCTTCCCCTACACTCCCCTTGAATAAAACTTGACACTCACTTTCCATTCACATGGCATATTCTGTTTTTTACCCACCAGGCTCTGTAGGACCTGCTAGGGTCACTGTGTGAAACTCTGAAGGCAAGGCTTGCTTTAGTCCAGTATTTCCAAACTATACTTCTTTCCCTCAATTTTGGGATCGTAATGTGTATCCTGTGCTATTATATATTGGAAGTATGTGATCTGCTTTTTGATTTTTATTTCTCAGGGGATTACAATAAAGAGATTGTATAAATCTCAGAAGAAACTTTGAACTTTGGAGTCTGCATTAAGGTATGGCCAGGGAGTGAAATGTGGTGGTTTGAATAGGAATGGCCCCCACAGACTCTTGGGTTTGAATGTTTGGCCCATAGGCATTTGCTTAGCACTATTAGGTGTGGCCTTTTGGGGATAAGTATGTCACTTTGGAGACAGGCTTTCTTTCAAGTGTCATATATGCTCAAGGAACACCCAATTTGGCAGTCTCATTCTCCAGCACCATGCTTCCTGCCTTGACTATAATGAACCAAAACCTCTGAATGTTTTTCATAAATAATCTTCTTCTTTTTTTAAAATAATTCACTTCTTTATTTGGTAAAGTTTCTAGCTTAAAATCTAAGCCGTATATTTCAGCTTAGGCCCATACATTAATCTTAGTAGTCTCTTTCTTTGACATGATTGGTCCTCCTGAAAAGCCTTCTGCGGTAACAACATATACAAAATTGTTTTCAGTAACACCAATACCATCTAGACTCCTTAAAGACAGGTGTGAGACTCACAGGACTTGTCAGACATTTCAGAAGTATGAACATGAGGCGTGCAAATGTGTAACATGTGTCTTTGTTCATCACAGAGTTGCCTGCACACAGAGGGCTCACTGCGAATATCCTGTCCTATGAAGGAAACCCTTCTGATATTGGTAACCAGGTTTCCAACTTTTTAAGGACATTGTTAGGACTGAAAAGAGTTCTGCTGTTTACTAAAAAGTTTCAAGTTCTTTCTTGGCTCTCCAAATTCCTGTGTTTGTTGCCCCCTTTTCAGCTATACTTAATAAATAACATCAATTTTTTGAGCTCTGGGATAAGCTGAGATTATTGCCACACATACAACTTGTCACCAACAAACATATACTCATGTGATGTGTTACAGCGCATGAACTTTGGTATAACTTTCATAATTCTACACGGTGAGAAGGCTCATACAAATTACACAGTTCTATTATTATCAAACCTGGAGGCTGAGTCACAAATTTTAAAAGGACACCAAGAGTGTATCAAATAAAACTGCACCTGGAAGTCAAATACTTTAAATTATGTGTCATGTCAGAATTTTTTATGTTGAAAATAAAATTAGGGCCAGGCAGTGGTGGCGCACGCCTTTAATCCCAGCACTCAGGAGGCAGAGGCAGGCGGATCTCTGGGAGTTCGAGGCCAGCCTGGTCTACAAGAGCTAGTTCTGGGACGGGCACCAAAGCTACTGAGAAACCCTGTCACGAAAACAAAACAAAACGAAAAAAAAAAAAAGAAAAAGAAAATTAGGGCTATCACTCAGTGGAAGAATTCATTTTTCCTTGTACAAGGCCGAGGGATCAATTCACAGACCCTAAACTGTAGGGATAAGTCCCGCCCCTTGGGGGGCGTGCTCGCCTCGGGCTAATGTCTGCCTATAAATTTGGCAAGCGTGCTCCCAGCCGTAGCTTCTGCTTTCCTGGTCTCTGTGCAAACGGTGGTTCTGTAAGTCTATTTCTACATTAAAGCTATAGATATATATATTTTTACAATCTGTCTGCATTCGTTTACGCCGTTACACTAAACACAACCTACATACAACAACAACAACGATAAAATTTCTCCTTCTCCCTAATCAAGCATTAAAAGACTTTTAAAAAAATAACACTGACAACTGTTAAGACATAAAATAATAAAAATATTCTTTCTACATATTTCATTGAAATCTTTAAAATGTATAAAGTGAAAAAT